TAACAACTTATATAGCATAAATAATGTCATAAAAATAGTGTGGTATAATGAGATTATTACTTTGAAACCGATGTTTTGAATTGATGCCCAAGAAGAACCAATATTTTCCATTCTGCTTCATTGCATATCTTTCAAAAAAGTAAAAAAATCATCCGATTAATTTCCTTAAAGAGAAATATCTAATATTATTTCTTAATATATAAAACTTCAAAAGTAGCTTCTTTGTTTTAAATTCCAGCAATGTGCTACATTGTCACTAAAATCATGACTGCAGTCGATAGAAAAGCAAATGATTTTCCTAATACGACAGAAGTACAGTAAGCGACAATGAAGGGTAAAAAAAAATTAGACAGTTATTACGAATAATGATCTTCGAGAAGATTAAATAATTTCAGCGCTAGTGAAAAGTTTGTTTTATAAGCTGTGAAAATGATGGAAATTTGTAACCGATATATTTTTAGATATGAATTTTAAACTAATGGTCGTCAAAAAGTCTAAAATATGAACGATTTTCAAAAATTCTCCCAAAATTTTTCTAAAAAATTACGCTAAAAATTTCATTTAATTTTTTTTCCCACCACAGTGTGTTATGGTGCAAACTGTAATATTCTGAGATTCTCAGTTTATTTGTTAATATTTGCAGAAAGTCGTTTCAACTTTAAATTTGGAAAAAATCTAATCCTCTAAAAATCAAAAGCATGACACCACATCCACAAGCAGTGTATTTACAAAGTTTGAGTTCTATATCTTATCGGGAAGCAGTTTAAAAATCCATGACCATCTTTTAACCATAGCGACAAGCACCAAGAGTGAACTAAATAACAGCTTATAAAATAATAATAATAATATTAAAAAGCATATATTTTTCAGGAACCATTCGAAATTTCAGGTAGCGTTGCGAAAGTACAGATTACAAATTAACAACAGTAACAGCATTAAAAATGTGTAAAACGTATAGAATCTGCCAATTTGGAGACGTGATTGTTCACAGAGACTTAGGTGTAAAGGGGAAGGAAGACGGTGGTCTTCTGAACGGTCCTAAAGATGAAACTCTTTCATGTCTCCTTTTTCTCCCCTTGCTAACGGCAGCTGTGCGAAGGAGTGTTGCATGTGAACGGGTTTTTACACACCAGTCAAGTAATGCTCTTTTCCCCTTTCTTTCCAAATCGTACAGAAAGTTCAAATTAATCTTACCACATTCAGCCATTTTACCATCTAAACTACAAAACAAGCAATATTGTTACGGATTTGGCATTTAAATAGCTAATATTGGTAGAACTATAAATTGTTTTATTCCCCGTGCAGTGCAGTGCGTGACGAATATTAAGAGAAAGCTAAGCCAGAAAATTAAAAATACAAGATCACGTGCATTTAATAAGTAAATATCTCTTTTTGATTTTGAGAAAATACCAGAAAATTCTCATGCATTTAAAAAGCTTATATAAGCGGCATGAAAATCTCAATTCGTTAGTCAGTTGTTTTAAGAGTTTGTTTAGTTGTTTAGAAAACTGTTCTTGTTGACTGTAGCGAATTCACAGCTGTTTTGAATTAAGTTCTGTTGAATGTTTGAGCAGTTAAAAAGATAACTACTGTGAGATATTGTAATACTGTACTAATATCTGAGGAAATTTAAGTATTTTGTTTTATTATTTGTGATAATAATAAATTTGGTTAATTTTTCATTGGACTTGTGCATTCAATTCATAACGAACCCGTACCCATGCAACAGTATACATCCTAACCAACACACACACAAGCCCTTATGAATTTACTGCAATCATGCAACCAATTATGTCATAATAGGGTTTCCATAACATTCAACTGCTCAGGCTGCCATAAATGAAACAACAACTTGGCGATAAATGAAACAACAAATTCGTGATAATACAAGGGGTGCCCTTCTCTCTACTTTGACCAGTTATTCTAACCAGGGAGATTTAGTGAGGGCAGATAGGAAAAGAATTTATAGATAAATATATATATATTATTATTGTTACTTTTTTATTTTATTTTTTTATTAAGTTTTTCGAAATTTTATGAGATAGTTAGGAAAATTTTATTATTATTATTGTTACTTTTTATTTTATTTTATTTTTTATTAAGTTTTTTTTAAATTTGAGATAGTTAGGAATGAGATAGAATAGGAAAGTTTTTGACAGTGTCAATTGGTGTAATTTGTCATGGGTCTTGAAGTTTTAATATACGGAATAACAAGTACATTTTTTTCATTTGAGTTTTTGCTTATCACAGTTGGTTTAGGTTCTTTTTGATGAGTGTGCTTAATTTTGAAATTTGTACAATCAATAATATTGATTTGAGTTCTTTAGTGAGTTTGAATAGTTCTAAAAATCCAGAAGTGTTTGCATTTTGGCTAGTTTTAATATTGCTGTGATTTGTGGCAGACTTATTTGTGTGTGTTCGTTTAGGCATAATACTATAGGTGGTGGGTTGGCTTGGAATTCTGGTTGGTTGATGGTTAGGGTAGTGAGTTTTCTTGTATTTTTTTAACATTATTTGATGCAATTTGGGAATAAAGTTTTCTGGTTCCTTGGAAATCCATATTTTTGGGTTTGGGGAATTTCTTGCACCCTCTGTAAGAAGCGGGGTGAGATTTTTTACAATTTACACACACTGGGTTTTCATTGAAACCTTTTCGAGGCAGTCAATAGATTTATGCTCATTTTAATAATGCTTATGCGCATTTTAATACAGTAAAAAATTAGAAAACAATTTTCAGAAGAGTGATGCCATTTCTGGCAGTGGTGGCATTGCGGGGTTAATTTTTGTTGACATATTTCTTTATTTGAACTATGAAGAGGGACATACTAGTGACATAGTAGATTTTTTCTATGTTGTACAAAGTCCGTAATCCGGACTCGTTGGGACTTGGGCGGTTCTGGATTAGGGGTTTTTCCGGATTATAGATCATCAATTTAAATCTGGTAAGAATGGCATGCAGAAATAATGCAATTAAAAATATGAAACCATAATTTATGAGATAAAGAGCAATCATGATCTAAAGGGTATCAAAATTTATAAAAAAAAAAGATATAAATTGTATTTATTTGTTTACTTTAGTAAACATTTCCATCAATGTAAGTTAGTTGCTTCTTTTTTTGTGCTAATACTTTCTCTTTAATTCTGTAAACAGACATAATTTCTCGTTCTTGCAAAGTTCCTGTAATTGCTGTGTCGAGGATACCGACTAACTTGTCAATCGCAATTTTTTCGTCTTCAATAACGTTCTCTGTTACTTTCTTCACTATCGGAAGCAAGCGTGGGTAAGCGCTTTACTGGCTTTACGCACATGCATAGTGGATGTGCGCATCAAACGCGCATGTGTAAACTCATTACGTGCATGCAGACGTTTGTGGCTTTGAGGTCCGGATTATAGATCATTCTGGATAATGGACGTCCGGATTATAGACTTTGTACTGTATTAGGGGTAGGTAATAGTTGTATTTGGAATAATGGCATGGGTTGCCGTGTCATCTGTGTTATGTTGTGGATTTGAAAACCTTTTTCTACGAGTATTTCTTGGATTTCATCGATTTCCATATTAATGGAATTACTGCTTTAATTGGTTTTTGATGTCGTGCGTTAATTAAATAGTGTTCGACATGTTGATCTTTCAGAAACTGTGAGAGAATTCTATGGTCATCTGAAGTGTTGTGAAGAATTTTAAGAAATTTGCTATTAATACAGCCGAAGAATTTGGCTTTTGACTGATTGGCTAATTGTTTTAAGTACTGCTTGTATTTGATATTATTTGGTGGTTTGACCATTACAGGTGGAACTGATTTAGGTTGAGATGTTATGGGTATTTGTTGCTGTATATCGTTAGGTGGCTTTCATTGTTAGGTGCTTTAAGGTTTTAATTATTTACATTGATTTTAACAGTATTAGCATTAGTACTAAGATTTACATTCGGAGATTGTAAAGTTTTTCCAGCAGGGGAAGTTAAGGGATTCCTAGCACACAAGGATAGATAATAGTTCATCCAGCATATTTTATTTAACTACTAGTATTACCTGAGCTTGTGTAGGAAATTTGATGAAATAATTTTGATAATATTTCTGTGTTCCAGTTCTTAGAAAAATTTAAATGCATTTAAACTAAATGATCATCTTGACAGAAATATTTTATTTAATTTGAATTTTAGTAGATACTACTGATAAAAGCTTTTTATATGCATTTATTTATACTGCATTACATTTTATTTTTAGTACATTGTGCAATAGACTGCATTACATTTTGTAATCCAACTAAGATTTTTAATTCTTAATGAATTAGGTTCAGAGAAGGGGACAGAATTACAACTGAATATGCAATTTTTGTTTGTTCATTAAAATCTGTCCATTACTTTTTCAGAAATTCTACATGATGTCTAAATTTTCTTAATTTTGCACAGGAGTGTATGAGAAATTCAAAAGGTGGATTGTTGTCTTTTTTCAGAAGACCTGCTCTAGCCAATATATAACATTAACCATTTTTATTTTTGACAAACAAAAACTGCCACCATACATTGTAATTTAGTAGGAATAAAGGATGAGTAAAACAGACATTTAAAGTTTTTGATGCAAAATGCCAAAATGAAATTAATGCCCTTTGGGCTAAAAAAATTTTAATATGTTTTGAAATAAACAATACAAATTCAAAAACCTCATAAAAAATGAATAATATAAGAACACGTGGCGAGAGTCAAAATGCGACACTGTACTAACATACAGTTATGTGTCGTTGTATAAGAACATGCAGCCATGCTAATATGTATGATCACATGACAAGGTATAAGAACACGCAGGTAGATTTTTGGCGAGATTATCTCGGTTGATTGCCTATTCAATCTCGCCTGAGGGGGGTCTGCTATAACAAAGAAGTACCCAAATTTTATATAAAATTAGCTTTTAAATTTTTGCATCAGGTGTAAAATATTTGTAGAGATCTGTTGTTTGATTATGACAAGATTTTTAATTTCTGTTTGTGCTTAATATTTATAGGTTTAGCAGAACTGGCTCACAGAGAATATCAAGCCGGTGATTATGAGAATGCAGAACGTCACTGCATGCAACTATGGCGTCAAGATCCAAATAATACCGGTGTCCTTTTACTTTTGTCTTCAATACATTTCCAGTGTAGAAGACTTGATAAGTAAGTGCATTTTGAAATTTATGAAAGTGACATGCTTTCTTAGCATTATAATGTATTCTGTTAAAGAGCTTTGGCAAGAAGAATGTTATTTAAATAAAATCTTTTGTGCGATAAATTGTTTTGGCAGTGTACTGCTTCGCCTGAAAATACTTTTCAGCAGTGGTACAGGTAATCATAAAGTACCATTAATATTTAAAAATCTGCAGACTTATATTATGTTTTATATTAACCCATTAGCCTCTTGTGTTGCGTTGACGCAACGGTCAAAATAAATGCGTATATAAATATAAATACCTAAGATATTTTATACCAGCAGATGATTTTGTGTAGGGAATATTATGAAGATTATTTCTGTAAAAAACTATTTGCCTTCAACAATCATTTTGTTTATAATAATTAATCTCATACTTTAAGCAAAATTTTCGAATGGGTATTTTTGCTGAAAATATTTAACCGGTCTTTATGAGTGATCTATTTTTAGTCAAGGTCACCATTTATCAGAACATTACATCAGTCAGATGTTTATATTTGTGTTGGGAAGCAAGGGAAAACAGGGGTTGCGTTGACGCAACGTCAGCAGGAAACTGGTATTCAATCTCCTTTTTCACTCATTCCATTCGATGTTCTGGTTCGTGTTCTGGTTGTTTAAAAATGCCTAGAACGAGGTATCTTACATTAGAAGAAGCTCTTCAAAGACTTTTTGATGAAGAAACAGATGATGATAATGTTAATAATGACCAGAATGAAACTTATATTGTTGTTGTTCCCCTAGAAATTGCAGAGGCTAATGACGAAGAAGAAAGGAATATCAATGTTTTAAATAATGATACAGTCAAAAGTCTTTAATCCGGACATCCATAATCTGAAATGATCTATAATCCGGACCTCAAAGCTACAAACTTTCTGCGCATGTGTATGCGCATGATACGTTTACGCATGCACGTTTAATGCATAACGGACGGTATATGCTAAGCTAAAATTATCTAATTATCTATTTCAGTTAATGTTGCAGATTACGTTCTTCCTTAATCTTCTAGTTGGATCTGGCTTATTATTTTTTTTGCAGACTGTTAGAGCAATTTTATATAAGTAAGCTTGAACTTTCGATTATGTCAAAACAAATTTCCGATTCTGGAGCTGACAAAGGATCTGCAGAGCGAAAGCATGTTTCGATGTCCATCAAACAAAAAGTGGAATTTCTGCAAAAAATGGATAAAGGCATATTTTTTGTTTATATAACCATTCCGAAATCTGTTTATCAATTTCACGCAACGTCGCGGCGCGCAATGAACTGGAAGTTGATCTTGTCAGCACTATCTGTGTCTTCAGGGTAGATGTTTTTATTTTATTCGGCTTATAATTCATTACTAAATGTAGTATTTCATCTCGATGTACTCCGTCTTTGATATGATTTAAATCAAATTCCTCGTCATTATAAATATCACAATTACACATCAAATAGTTTTCTGGTTGCAATTTTCTAATTTCGACCATGCGTAATGTATGCTTTACGCATGCGCGCGTTGAAAGAAATGTTTAATAAAGGAAACTTTTTTTTTGTTTGTTTTTGTAAATTTTGATACCCTTTAGATCATAATTGCTCTTTATTTCATAAATTATGGTTTCATATTTTTAATTTTATAATTTCTGCATGCCATCTTACCAGATTTAAACTCATGATCTATAATCTGGAAAAACCAATAATCCGGAATCACCGAAGTCCCGACGAGTCCGGATTAAAGACGTTTGACTGTAATGATATTTACCAAACGATACTGCTGGGGAAGCTGAAATTCACGTAAGAAGTAAGTTTCAGCTTTCTAAAAGCACTTACTGTCATACTAAAAAGTTTAAAAGCAGAAGACTGAAATCTTGAAGTGGATAAAAAAGGAACTGTTAGTTATGTCTCAGGAAGAACATGAAGAAAGTGATAGAAGAGAAATTATAAAAGACAAAACACAAGGTAAAACTAGTGCACAGATTTTCGACTTTCTTTTTGGTTTAGACATTTACTCTCTTCTCGTTGAACAGATAAACGCTCAGCACAAAATAAATAAATAAATAAATAAAAAAGCCCAGAATTAATTCCATCTGAAGCCTATATGAGAATATTTATTGGAATATTATTGCTTACAGGATATCATTCTTTACCTCAAAAATGTATGATAAGGACATTTCTGTTCCTGTTGTACGAGAATTGATCACGTTTGCAGTACAGGAATATGAAGCAGAATTTGCATTTGACAAGAGTCAAATTGACAATACTGATAAATTATATGAGGTGAGACCGTATCTAAACTTACCAAATATCACCACTTTTTACTACTGGAAATATAAAGTCTCTTTTAGATTTCAGACGCGAGAATTATTCCTTTTGCAAACTCCTATTGAGAGTGTAGAAATTAGCCAAATAGATCAGCAACAGGAAGACCTTGTAAATTCAGCATTCAAAAACCATTGAATGGAGATGGTAGACATTTTATCGTAAAGTCCGTTGATAACAAAAGACTGTTGTAAAGAGTACCATAGCCAGACTGTTTATAGATAGATGCAAAGTATGTAATGTAGCTTTGCATCATGATTGTAATCAAGCTTTTCATGCTTGAATCTTTCAAATGAAATAATCTGTATTTGTAAAAGAAATACACTGTATATTTTAATATTAAATTAATAACAAGTAAAATGATTTGTAGATTTATAAAACTTTATACAGCTAAAAAGTAATCCTGCGCTCCACTCAAAAGAAACATCACACGAGTACAATCCTACTCACTCAACATCTGTAGTCTTATTCCGCTGACGTTGCGCGAACGCAACACTCATGTTTTCCACAGGTAAGAGCATTTTTTTTATTTTCAATGTAAATTTATGTTATAAATGCTTAATTTAATATTTGTTATTATTTTCATGAGAAAAGAAACATTCCTTGTAGTTTTGGCGGTTAATGGGTTAAGAATGTGACCAAATCAAAATATGTGAATGTCTCTGGTACTAAATACAGTTCTCTTCATGAAAGCAGTAAAGTTGCAGTACCATCAGGGAATCATGCGAATGAAATGAAAATTTACCGGAATTTCAAAACAGGATATAGTACGCAAATGATTAGAATTTCTGTGTCGTAATGTATGCATGAACTGAACCGCTGTCTCTGAACTATCATGTTAGATGTCAAGAGAACATTAAATGGAATGCTCCATTATTATCTTCTATCTGTAAATATTCATAAGGAGGGACTATGCCTTGTTAAGACCCCTACCCCAAAAAACAAAAATGTTTAGTATAAGCAAATTATGCTGTTTGAAGGGGGTGAATGATTAGCCTGCAAGAAGAGGATTTTTCTATCTTGAAATCGCAGTTCATATGGGGTATTATGCTATTATGCTTCATCATTGATTCATGTGTGAAAACTGTGGTCTCAAGAGAGCCAAACAAGGTATAGATTTGACAGGGGATCAATATATGTTATGTCAACACATGATGTCTGACATCTCATCTGCATGACTGGTAGGGATCTCGTGTAGATTCATCTTATTGTTTCATAAAACTTTGGAGCATTGTTGCAGGTGTGATATTGGCAGCTTCCAATAGTTTGTCGCCATTAGCCGCACTAAAAATTGCATGCATACATTCCTTTGTGCAAGATTTCTGTGGTGTAAAACTATCAACTCATGACTTTCGTAGAAGCCCATGATAGTCTGCAAACAAGAGTCAGTCATTTTTTTCTGTCCATCATTTCAGTCTGGTCATTGTGGCTGATTATGCTGTGTAGTGTAAGTGACATTAAGTTGTAATATTTTCCCTGTAGACTGTGTTATTAATACTTGATCATTATTTTGTGCGGAATTGTAAATTCAGTTACTAAAGGAATGTATTGGTGTTCTTGAATTTACGAAAGCTCTTACAAAAAAGCAATTATGGAATCAAAATTTCTGGAGTAAATTTTATTTCAAGCAAAAGAAATATTGTTTGCAAAAAACATTTCTTTGATGACTTAATTATGAGAAACATTTTTATGGATGTAACTTTAAAACTTTCTAAACTATCTGTTTATAATTTTGATTAAATTTGTATCAGAGATTGCATTTCATGTGACTGCATGTATGTTTTGAATAATGAATGGAAGCTCTCAGTGAAAAGTGTAGGAATACTATATTAAACATGTTAGGAACAGTTCCAAAGAAATGCAGTAAAAAGTCCAAAATCCAGATGTATGTTCTAATCTTCGGATCTCTCTAATCTCACTCCCCCTTTTCAATATCTAGGAAGGGGGGAATATAAAAGAATATTAATACTTCACCAGGGTTCATAGCGGTCCTTATAAGTGCTTAAAAGTCCTTATATTTGAAAATAAAATATGAAGGCCCTTATAGGTTCTTACTTTTTCTTTAAATCCCTTATTTTTTTGTTTTTAGTGCTTATTTTGTGCTTTTAGTGCTTTTTTTTTTTTTTTTTTTTTTTTAATGAAAGCACTATTTTTCTTGGTACCAAAGCCGAAACTAAATAAACAACTTTTCTTCCTAATATGGAATGTCAGATGGTGAATCATACTCCCGGAAACAGCTTTTCCCCTTTCTCTGCATTAACATAACCTTTGGTGTGCACGAAGAGTACAGACAGGTGCCCGTCCTTCTATTGGTCAAAGAAATGCGAAAGCAGTAGAAAATTTCGGTACATTCGGCATTCTTTTCCTCCCATCCAAATACTACACACGTTTGAATTTCTATCAAGATCTTAATACTTTGCATTCTCGTTCCGCTTGGTCAGTTCATATTCGTGTTTATTATGATCATTATGCTTATATTAGAGCATATGTATGAATGTTTATCATAACATAGTTGCAGTAACTGCTGAAGTATAGTAAACTTTCAAAAATGGTTGTGTTTTAACACAGATTATCTTTCTAAGGAATAATATTCGGAATGGCTTAAATAAAGGGAAAGTAATTGAATAGTCAAAATAATTTTGTTTTTTTTGGCCAATACATTATACAGTACGAAGATTGGGAGGTTCTCCCCTTTCTCTGCAAAATCTTGAATATTGAAACTGTTACAGTTCGCTGCAAAACAAGCAACGGACCTTTTTTTTTTCTTTTTTTCTTTTTCTTTTTTGTCACTTTTCAATCTGGATTGAATAGGACAAAAAGTTCTGCGGTCTACCAACCCAAGCAAAGAATGATTCTATTCTGGAAATTTAATGTCGTCTGTTGAAAATTAGAATGAAAAACACCCCAGTTATTTAGTTCTTTATTCTCCCAATACCGGCAGCTGTTGATTCCGATTGCGTAATATACGGGGCACGTATTGCGCAACAACGCTTGCTATATTTTGCAGAGATAATTAATTTTGATGTTCTGTCCGAGATTTGTTTATGGACACTTAAAAGAGTTTTACTGTGCTTGCTAAGCAGAATATTTTTCAGTTTCATTGGTTTATTTTTGTATGATGCACATATCAAAATGTCAAATGCATTTATTTAGCGGAAAAATTTAAAGAGCGGCTACAGTCTACCCCCCCCCCCTCCGCTCCTCTTTTTCAAGTTATGCTCGACTGTTAGATGTCCGAGTATTCGCCAATTTCCAAGTATATGTGGGTTAGTTAAGCTTTTATTGTTAAAGGATGACTGCATGAAGCAAATTTCTGTCTTATGATTTCAGAAATGTTCCTCATTTTTACTTAAATTAATTTGCTTGCAATATCTGTTAAGGGAAAACTGATATACAATGAAAATTTAGAAAATGTTCAGAATTTAGATTTAAATTATTTAAATATCAATATGAGTAAAAAACTAAATTGCGTTTATTATTAGGTTCCAAGTGAATACAATAAATATGCCTTATTATTATTTATTTTCTCTATTTTGAACTGAAATTTCATCATTAAATCTTGTAATATAGTTTAGTTCTGCATAGTTTTTTTTTTTCTCTCATTGTAAACTAGTTATGTAAATTGAACTGTTATTTAAAATTAAAAAAAAAAAGTAATTATTTTCCATGTTTGAGGTAATGCTTTATTCTCTGTTAATAAATACAGCATTTCTCATATTTTAAATTACAAGTCTAATTTTTTAAGGTTATGCAGTTGTGTATAATGTAATTAGACAGGTGCTTATTTTTTTTCTTAAAATGTGCTTGAAAAGGGCTTATAGGTTATTTTTTTTAACTAAAATGTGGCTATGAACCCTGTTCACAAAAGGAAGTAGGTGCATTGTAAATTTCCAGACTAAGATTTCTGCATGCCATTTTAAAACACTTACTGGCTAGGGTGTTACAAGCAGCCAGTGACATTACATTGATTGATGCTCTTTTGGTGCTGGGCAGGCTTGCACTTTCAGCCCTTCATTGTTTTTATTTAAACAATAAATGAAGTTCCAGCATTTACTGATGATCAGCAGTCATTTTGCTGATGATCTAAAATCCCTTGAGCTGTTGAGGTTTTTTTCTGTATGACCTAAATACCTAAATAATAAGTGAAGTCCCTGTGTTGCCAAGTCTGCTTGTCATTTTACTAGATTATTATAACTGATGATCTAAAATCCCAAAATTTCTGAAATATGTTATATGGGAAGCTCTTTTTAAACTGTAAGCATAAAAAGGAGCATTCTGGGGATTATCTAAAAATTAGCTATGTGTTTATTCATCATATTGTATGCATTTATTTCAGTTTATCAAATTTGTCTTTTTAGGTCAGCTCATTTTAGTTCACTAGCAATCAAACAAAATCCTATGCTTGCTGAAGCATATTCAAATCTTGGAAATGTTTACAAAGAAAGAGGTCAGTTGCAAGAAGCTCTGGAAAATTACCGTCATGCTGTGAGACTGAAGCCAGATTTCATTGATGGCTACATTAATTTAGCTGCTGCATTGGTTGCTGCCGGGGATATGGAGCAAGCTGTACAAGCATATGTGTCTGCTTTGCAATACAATCCTGTAAGTTTTTTTTTTTTTTTTAATGTTAAAAAATTTTCTTTTGTTCTTTGAGAAACGTTGAAAGTTGATGTTGTAAAGATTTGTAATGCAACATAATCAGTTAGTGACCGAGTGCTATTTTGAAGTTTAAGAGAATGACTAATCCATTAATGAGTTTTTATATTACAAAAAATTATTTGCCATAAAAAGTATCAGGATTTTTTCAGTGAAGTGATAAAGAAGAAGTGACAAACATAACTTCATTCTTATTCAGAGAGAAGTTGAGCAAAAGCAATCTATTTAAAGAAGCACAAAGAAGAGTATTTTACTAATAAGCTGCAAATGAACTTTATGTAATTTTTGGTTACATTAAACATACTAAGGAAGTTTTGTGTGCTGCCTCAAGGTCTGCTAGGTTCTTCATAAAATGTCTGTTGTAGGTTAAAAAGCAGAATAAAAAAAAGTAAGTGCCATTTGAGACATTTTACTATTTAAAAAAGAAAAAAAAATTCATGAGAAAAAATAGCATGATACTACATTTAGATATGAAAAATTAAGCAAATAAATTATTTTATTAACTTTCATGAATCATTCTTTAACTTTTAATCATTAGCCTAGATTTTGTACTGAGTAATCATTGATTTTGATCTTGTTCTTATTGTAGTAGTCTGAAACTGGCAGTCCGTGGGCTGTGTACAGTCCCCGAAGCAATTTTATACAACTCTGCAAGTATCTATATTGTAAATTAACATTATTATAAGAATTTGGAAACCATTTAAGATTTTAATGTTTTGAAATCCATTTATTATTATTTTTAGGATTGAAAATAAACATTACTAATATCCCAGAAAATCTACAAATGGAGCTAGTAAATTTAAACTGTGATGTCAATCTTATTCAGAGATTTGGATTTTTGAAATAAGAATAATCACTTTGTTTGAGAGCATATGTATATGTAAACAGCTTATCTTCTGCTGGTGAAAAATTAGTAAGTCTAAGAAAAGAACCAGGTTGACCAATGAGCATCTGCAATTCATGATAAGATCATTTCTAGTATTTTTTTTTTTTTTTTCATGCTAACAAATGTTATCAAAATCCAAACGTCGTGTTGTGAGTAATAGAAGGCAGTTTAAAGAAAGATAAGCTAGTTTACCTCGGAAAGTCCTTCAACAGGGTTCGTACAGTCCTTAAAAGTCCGATTTAAGTCCTTAAAAGTTTTTTGAATCTATTTTTGGTCCTTAATTTCGGCCACAATCGGCAGAAGGTCCTTAATTTTAATCATTTGAAATTTCTGTCTGTTTTACGACTGCCATTTTGAGTGTGAATTAGCATTTTAGAGGAATATTTTTGGTTATTCACTGACGTATATGGTTATCTTTTAAAATTACACATCGAAAGTTTTATTTTTAGTAATAAAACTATATTAAAAATCGCTTACTAAATCTTAATTTATCTTTGCACATTTTGTTAAGTTTTAACTTAAACTATTTAATAACTTTAAGCATTAATTATTGAATTATTATTATAATTTTTAATTAATAATTTTATTAGTCATTTTTATTTATTTTTGTTCCTTATTCCTGATGGTGTTTGTTTCACATGGCTCTGGCATCTAATTTTAGAAATTAAGTTCTGTTTTCTCTATAAAATTAATTTTACACTTTTTTCCTGCGATTTTTTCAAAATATTTCTGGCTTTATGCTGTTACAGAATTTGTAGGGATAATTTTTCTTTAGGATTTTAGACATTGCAGCTTGGAAAGTTTAGAAAGATATGAAGGTGAGATTTATAGACCCACAATTGTTAGAAGATTCCAGAAAAATGTGACAAAATGAAAAATGTCTCCATGGTATCAACACAAAATTTCTTACTTTTTAAAGAACATCTGTAAGAACAATGAAAAAATTATAGTTGAATGTTTTACTTCTGGTATTAGAATCTTTTTTTAAACATTTTTATCTTCGCTTTATTTTCTCTACTTTTCACAAGACACAAGCATGGAAAATATCAAAAATGCTTTTAATCTTATCATATGGACAAGCATTATAGAAAGGAATTTTTTTACTTATAAAGAAATTGAAGACTGGCAATTTGAAAGATTCATCAGTACTTTTACGTCTGATTCTCGCCAAGCAGACTTTATTGGCGACAACACACAGTATACACATAATTAACAAATGTTAGTTCTAAAAATTTTTTTATTTTGAAAGCATAAACATTTCAATATTTAAAATTTTTTAAAAAGACAAGTAAAAGCAATAAATTTGTAAAAAGCATTTATTTAAGAATTTAATATGATCTTAACATCCTGATTCACTGGTTCATATCACGACCCCAAGTGATCTCATCTCACTTAAACTATGCTATAAAAATCTTAATTCTGTCGGTAATTATCTACATTAATTTCAAATTAAATCTTTTGGAATACAAATTTAAATGCAACAGTTATTTCAATTCGTACGAATAGCTTACTCAGAAATTATGTAAAACTGCAGTGCTTTACTTCGCTAGAGCATTCTCATTAGAATTGATGAATTTAACCCTTGACTTCGCTTTTTCTATATTTTCGCGTTTGGGTGAGTGTGATTGCATTCTAATTGACTTATTTACTGCAAAAGCCCTTAGTGATGGAAATTACTTAAATGGCAGATATATTTTAAAAATATAGTAGAAAGAAATAAGCAAACCACAAATGCACGTTACATGTTTATTTACTTGGCTAACTAAACATGCAACATGCATTTGTGGTTTGCTTATTTCTTTCTACTATATTTTCAAAGTATATCTGCCATTTAAGTAATTTCTATCACGTTATCAGCACAATATGCTCTAAAAAATTTATTTAGCAGAAACGAAGAAGAAATTTTGATTTTTCCGAAAGAAAAAGAAGCAACTTCCACTGCACCGGCGAAGCTAAACCTAACACGTTGAAAGTAATCGCTATCACTTAGGGCATAAAATTGAACTATCTGGTAAAAATTCTATGTACGTTTATGCCGTATTGAAAGAAACAATCAATCCGATAAGAAATTGTGCTACTTGTTTTGAAAATCAAGCCTAAAAGGTTGCCAGCGAGGATACTCCATTTGGCATCGGTTGTACCATTTTTAGTGACTTTATCGCCTGTGCTGGCAAAATGGAAAAGTACTGATTCATCTAATATGTCTTAATATATCATACACAGGGCTGGCACTAAATATTTTCCCACCTGAAGCAGTCTCTGCTATCTTAAATTCTGCTGGTGCCTTTCTAAATTCTGCTTCCAATGCCTGTTCTAAATTCTGAAAGTTTTGCCCTTTCTAGATTTTGCTGCTCAGTGTGTCACTAAATTCTAAAAATTATGCCTCATCAGCTCTGTAACCAGACATTATCATATGTATTTTATATTTCTTATGAATGTTCATATTACTAAAGAAATAAAATTAGCAGCTTTTTCTATACATTTTAAATGCATTTAGTTTATTTAGAATAACATAAATCTTTAATTAAATCCAAAAATTCTAAAATGAAAAGAAAACGTGAAAGAAAGAAACTGAATACATAAAGAGAAAGAAAGTTATTCTTCAAAGATGTGTACAGTTATTATTATGTAAATTAGCCAATTGTTTACACTTTCAGTCTTTGCTATAATTTTCCATTTCTGTTTTCTCACCAGAATGCAAATCACTTACAGTTTTTCAACCGAGTTTTCTGGTGTGTAGGACAAGAGTGTTTCTGACCTTCACTTGGTCCTTGCATTACCGCTGCCAATATTTGAGTTTGTTATGACGATAGAGTTACTGAGCCAGCTTAAAATTAAATTAAATTGTATAGTCTTTGACCACTGGTCAATATTTTTAGTTTGAATTTGACTCTTCTTGTTTAATTACATCACCACAAGTTTTTAAACCTTTGTCTGCAGTTACTTTCAGACATAGCTAAAATTTGCTTCACATCTGCTGGGGTGTTTGGGACTATTTAATTTTTTTCGAGATTAAATAAACCCTCATAGGTATATTGTGTAGAGGCTGACAGGTTAGGAGATAAAACACGCAGAGACTAGTGAGGACATTCATTGCGTATTGAGACAAATTTCTAATTGTTAGAAAAAATGCTTAAAGAGAAGGAAATCAATGTAAATTAGCCAAAATGTCTGGGAAGGCTTCAAATTAAAAAGACACATAAATATTTTGTCGAGTGTTAATGTGGTTTGTAGCTTTGTTAATGTTTGTAGCTCTTTGTTAATGTTTGTAGCTTTTTGTTAATGTTTGTAGCTTTATTATCCTAATATCATTTTAGAATCAATGTCATAAATTACAGGTATTTTAAACTGTGAAATTTTATTTCACTGTGATTTTAATAGTGGTTTTTTTAACAAATATTGCTAAAAAAAATTTAATAGTGGCCATGTAAATCTATAATGACTAAGGTTATCTAATACCTAATTTAACTACTTATAACCAGCTGCTTACCCTTAAAAAATATCTCTGCATATTAAAGCGAGTTATTGCCTTTTGTTAATCCTTACCATGGTCACAAGATAAAGCACAAAAAAATGTAAAAATTCATGTAAAACTTATTCTTCGCATCTAAATGAGACTTAAAATGGTGAGAAACAACTTATCACCTCTGGTGCTTTAGTGGCTTATTAGAACCTTAAAGTATATTACCTGAGTCACAACCCCTGGAGCTCTACATGAAGCTAAGACACTAACTGAGTTAGATGGAGCCCAGCTAACTTTAAGAACTTGCCAACCGACTCTACATCAGGCCTTTCAGGTTTGTTCTGATCAGTAGTCTGTCTCTAGGCAAGGGTGACAACAGCCAGTCTTTTGTTATGAATCATGCTGATTATGATTTTGCTTCTTATTTTAACCTATGCCACTTGACATAAAAATCTGTTTACCAGTTATTAAACCTCTAGACCGAGTGAGTATATGACAAAATGAGATATTGAAATAAAAAAATCGACAAAAAGCTAACTGTTAGTAAAACATAAATAAAATATCACTTATCTCATTTCAAATACATCCAATTATTATAAGTGTAAAATATTAAATGTTACTTGATAAATTTCATAAATTTTATTTTATTCTCAAAATTATTAATAATAATGTTAATTAAGATATGTTTAATAATAATGCATCCTACTTACGGATCTATACTTTATTTTTAGGATGGCATTACAGAAGTGAAGTTCAGGCATAGAAAATATTTTTAATTGAATTCAGCTCCCATTTGTTCATAGGTCTTTAATTTTTTTCATGATCCTTGAAAGTACTTAATTTCCGTGTGCAAAAATGTGTACTAATCCTGTCTGCTAAGGCATCCCTTTCTTTAAGCAGATAGCTTTCGAGGCTTTCTCGTAATCATGTAAAACAATCTAACAGAAATTTCTTAAAGATAGTTTAGATTTTACATGGAAAAATAAATAAAAATTTGAATTTTTCCTTTGTGTCATTATTATTGCTGTTTGGTTATGTTTTGATAGCTTAAAATTTGAAATTTAGTTATGTTAAAGCTCATCAATTGCTTTTAGATCGTGCATTCAGTATGTCTGCAATTTCAATTTGAGACTATTAGCTTATTGCATTCATTTAATACATTTAAATTAGTTATTTTAAGCAAGATTCTTTAGTAATTAAAATCACTTACCTACCAGTTTAAAGAGGAGTTTAAAAATATAACGTTCTAAATTTTAGTTTATGCTATTTCAGCCAAGTATGTTTATAATTGTGTTAAATAGAGTTTTAAATTATTCATTATACAGTCAAAAGTCGTTAATCCGGACTCGTCGGGACTTCGGCGATTCCGGATTATCGATTTTTCTGGATTATAGATCATCAGTTTAAATCTCATAAGATGGCATGCAGAAATTCTAAAATTAAAAATATGAAACCGTAATTTATGAAACAAAGAACAATTATGATCTAAAGGGTATCAAAATTTGCAAAAAGAAAAAGCTTAATATTTATTTGTTTACTTTATTAAACATTTCTTTTAATGTAAGTTGTTTAAGTTTTGCTTAGTTTCATCTGATAATACTTTCTCTTTAATTCTATTAAACAGACATAATTTCTTGTTCAGTTACAAAGTTCTGCTGTTCAAGTCCTATAATTGCTGTGTCAAGAACACCGACTAATTTGTCAATCGAAATTTTTTCGTTTTCAATAACCTCTGTTACTTTTCTTCGCTATCGGAAGCAAATTATAATGACGAGGAACTTGTTTTAAATCATGTCAAAGACGGAGCATATCGAGATGAAATACTACATTTGGTAAGGAATTATAAGCCAAATAAAAACATCTGCGCTGAAGATAAGGATAGTGCTGACAAATCAACTTCCAATTCATTAGGCGCCTGCCGCAGCGTTCTCCCCGCCGAGCAACGTGAAATTGATAAACAGATTTCGGATTTCAAAACATACTTTCGCTTTAGATCCTTTACATATTAACAAATATATATCGGAAATTCTATTTGATATAATCGAAAGTTTAAGCTTACTTTTATAAAATTGCTCTTACAGTCTGCAAAAAATAATAAGCCGGATCCAATTCGAAAATTAAGGAACAACGCAATCATCAACATTAACTGAAATAGATAATTAGATAATTTTAGCTTATACGTCCATTATACATAAAACGCACATGTGAAAACGTATTCTGCACTTGCGCACACTCATATGCGCAGTCGTAAAAGGTCTTACGCGCACGCGTAAACGCCTATGCGCATGTGTCAACGCGGCGCATGCGCAGAAAGTTTTTAGTTTTGATGTCTGGATTATAGATCATTCCGAATTAACGACTTTTGACTGTAATATTTAAATTAAAGACAAATTTTGGTAAAATATGAAAAAATATGCAGGTACTCTTCTTTTATCAGGAATGGATTCAAAAATGTATGTATGTATATATGTGTGTACATACATATATGCATGTGTACATGAACACATATATCCCCACATTCATTTCTGGCCCTGTTCCTGATAACAGAACAGTTCCAATATGTATTTGGTTCATAGATACATTATGCATTAATTTTGTAGATCTGTACCTTTCTTGTAAATTATCAGATGTATTCAATTGGCTTTGTTTTTATTTAAACTTGTAGCTGATGAAAACTTTTGGAAAAATTTAATTTTAAAGTGAGCATTTTCAGTTAAATGAGATGTAGTTTGAATTCTAACTTATTAATAATACTTATATGTTACTGATGCAATAAGTCTTCTTTAATTCTAGGACCTGTATTGTGTTAGGAGTGATTTAGGTAATCTTTTAAAAGCACTAGGGAGATTAGACGAAGCTAAGGTATGAAAAATCATGTCATTCATCTCTTTATTTTTCATGTTTTGTGTATTTTTCATAGGCAACTGCAAATCATTATTACTGAACAACCCCCCTTTTTTAAGCTGAATTTTTTTTATGAAATATTTTTTCTTTAGTTTTGTTTTAAAGCATCATTCTTATGCAGACACTCTGGTGTGTTAAGTTTTAGTAATGATATCTGTAAAATTTTTTGGGTAGGACTTGAAAGGTAAACCTGTGTATGTTTATAAAACCTTAGATGTACATATGTTTAGAGTAGTATTTATGTTATTCATGCATATTATGAGCTAATGATGAATGAACTTTCCAAAATAAAGTGTGCTTTTCTGTCAGCCAGTACGTAGTTTAGTTTGCTGATTTTTATTGAAAAGCTTCAGTGCATTAAAAATTGCATCTTCTCAGTAAGATTTTCCAGTGATTATAGATATAATTTTTACACACACACACACACATATTTTACACATACGTTTATGTAAAATGTTAATTTTTTTTCTGAAATCAGCAGCAGTTTTTAAAAAATATCTTTTAATCGTAATATATGTAGAATGAATGATGCGAGTTATTACATTTTGTGTTTTAACAGAAAGTAAGTTTAAAATATTGCTTAAAGAAGTGTAATAGCCGCATTTCTATTTATCCCTATTTTTAAAATTAATTTTCTTAAAGTTAAATCTGATGACCTAGAATTTACATTGATAGCAGAAAACATGAAAAATAAATTAATGGTAATAACATACAGTACCATATTATGATTTTTATGCTTAAACTTAGTATATTAAAATAGCATATTTGAAGTTAACTTTTTAATTGTTAATAAACATTAATTTGTATTAATATTAAGGTGTTAAGCTTTCAATGGTAAAATATGAATTTTCAAGCTAATTTAAAACATTCAAAGGTTTTAATGCTTCACATAGCTAGTTTATTGCTTGACCACCTATTTATTATTGCAAGAAGTTTTGGATTATATTATAAATGTTATTTTATTCAGTTCTTATTTAACCCGTAAGGATTTAATATTCTTTCCTCAAGAACATAGACCAAAGTAAGGATCAGTTATAAAATTTCAGGTGTATGATTTGAAAAGATGCTTACTCATGTATGCAAATATGTATATTTTATTTGCATGAGTATTAACATATGTATGTTTAGTTATCATTGTACTGTTTTTCTTATTATTAGAGGGAAAAAATTCTGTGAATTCTTTAATTTATTGTATAAAAAATTATTTGTTTATTTTAGTCATTTGGCTGCTGAAATGGACAAAATAATAAATCATACGAGTATCTCATTAAGAGTAAAATTCATATGTGTGTGGATGGTGTGCACATTATTAATGTCCATTGTGAAAGCAAAAATACTTTACTGCATCTAATTCGCATCTTTTCCAAATTATAAGCTGGTTTTCACATAGATAATTTTGCTCATTATTAGATACACATAGAAGAGAAGTTTGTTTTTGAGCTTTATTTTGCAGGATCTTACTAACAAGAGAGAATAATTTCGAAGCATATTTTTTTTTTAACATTACATTTGGAAACAAGTATATATGTACTTAAAATAAAGTACTTAAATAAATAATAATTTCATTTGAAAATACAAATATTCCAGCTATATTTGGAATTACTAAATGTTCAGAATTGAATATGCTGCTGGGGGTACAGTATTATTGAAAATGTACGTAGAATTATTCATCCAGATTATTATTTAACAAAACAGTAAAATCAGTAAATTATTTTATTAAATCTTAAATAGCGTATTGAAATACTTTGCTTAGTTTGATTTTTCATGAACTGTGTGTGTGTGCAGATTCTGAAACTCTGTCTGTGTTTTTTTCTGTATTTCTTGTTTCCCTGTGTTTTGATGTTGAATATGCTTACTATTAGACTGTTGCGTTATAAGAGGAAAATTTTTAAACTGAGGTTTTAAAAGGCCAAGTCTCTTTGTTGCGGATAACTTAACCAATCTACTTGCAGTTGACTTCTAATATATGACGTGTTAGTTACAGGAGGTCAGCTGGAGAGCATATAGCACAGTTGGAGATTTTGCGAATTCTGATTTAATGCTGCTATTCTGCCTATCGTTGAATTTCAGGAGGCGCAGTTGCAATAGCGCTTAACGTGTTATATAAGAAAAAGCATCTTTTTTGTGCATTTTGTTTAATTAAATTGTAAGACATTTTTTAAATGTTAAATCTATTTTTTGGATGAGATTTCTATTAGAAGAATCTAAAATATTGCACAGAAAAGATGTTTCTTCTTTGCGCTGAACGCATGATTCCCCCCCCCCTTTTTTTTTTTTTTTTTTTTTTTTTTTTTACTGCATGCTTTATTGTATATCAGAGGAACTTGGCCTTTTCGAACTTCATATTTTTTAATCATTTATTAATAATTTGAGGTGTTGCCTATGAAAAATTGTTTTGGTAGTTTTTATTGTTCCTCGAAGTTACATTTCCTTTCATTTTAATTTCATAGTGCATTATTTTTCTGTAGGAACTATTTAGTGATATATACAGAGCAGCCTTCCTTAAACAACTTAGTAATTTTTAAAAATTATTCTTTTGTTTTTTCTAAATTTTGATGCACGTGGAACTTTTTAAAATGAATAATCGTGTTAAAAATTTCTTTTTGTTGAATTTTTCTAAATACAACCTTTTTTATTGTTCTTTTGTTCCTATGCTCTCGTAAGATAAAAATTTTTTACTCTTACTTTCAGTTTATTTTTTAAAGCATATTAATTACAACTTTGTAAAGGAAGGCTGATTACAGCTTTATCTGTGATTTGGATATCAGGACTCTTCTAATGTTAAATTTTCTTTTTCTTCCTTAAGAAATAGCGCTTATAATAGGGCTTTGCGTATACTTGAGAGAGCAGATACTAAGAGAGTATGCTGCACAAGGATCGCATAGACTCCTGGATTGAAGGTCTAACTGCTGTCATCGTTCTGCAACTCAGTGGTAATAATAAAATGTTTAGTTTGCTATGCTGGGATTTAATTATGTGGAGAATATTGAAAGTTAATTTAACATGAGAATCTTTAAAACCTGAAATGTACTCAGATTAAATTTCTCAAAATATATAAGTTTCCACTCTTTTGATTTTCTCCACAGTTTATTACCAGTTCACTCCTTTCTCCTACATTTAATAATGGAATGCAGATGTAAGATGTAGGAAATGGACTAATATTATTATCAGTAAGTTATAGTACTTTTAAATGGAATTTTAGGAGGTTTTTTTTTTTTTTATTTTAACATGTCATTTGTGCATGTTAAAATGATTTTGCAGCCAGTGTATCTGTGGCAAAAAGCGCGCGTTTGCTTGCTTTTGTTTTTGCTGCGATGTTTTTTTGCGATACCGTGGCTGTTCATTGCAGGCTTTGCGATTCAGGCATACTGAAGAAACTTATCATGAGTAAAAGCATTGTTGCAGTTTCATTTATAGTAATCTTTTAGGTAATTATAATTCAGATACTTCAGTCTGCCTGGAAGATAGCGCAGCATTCGTGAAGTAGCTTTTGCGAAGGGCTTGGCGACCAGAACACTGGCTGCATACTAGAATTCTATTTGTTAATTAGTGGAATAATATGTTCTGTTCTTAATTTTATGTTCACTTTGGATTCACCTGATTCTTCTTCTTTGGGCTAACTTAAGGCTTGCTACTTGAAAGCCATCGAAACCTGTCCAACGTTTGCTGTTGCCTGGAGCAATTTAGGTTGTGTTTTCAATGCTCAAGGAGAAATTTGGCTAGCTATTCACCATTTTGAAAAGGTGGGTTTGTTTTGCTTTGCATGATTGTCACTTTTGTTATCTCACCTCCAATCATTTTCGCTTCAAAATGTTTAAATATTTTTATTTCACGGAACCAAGTAATTATGTTTATATAAAGGTTTAACGGAACTGATGATTCCAACTTGAAGAATTATAACAAAATTGAAAATTTTCATACTTTAGTGTATGGTGGAATGTAAATGTGGAAATACAGGAAATATAAATAGGAATACAGTCAAAAGTCGTTAATCCGGACTCGTCGGGACTTCGGCGATTCCGGATTATCGATTTTTCTGGATTATAGATCATCAGTTTAAATCTGGTAAGATGGCATGCAGAAATTCTAAAATTAAAAATATGAAACCGTAATTTATGAAATAAAGAACAATTATGATCTAAAGGGTATCAAAATTTACAAAAAAAAAAAAAAAAAAAAAAAAGCTTATATTTATTTGTTTACTTTATTAAACATTTCTTTCAATGTAAGTTGTTTAAGTTGCTTCATTTTTTATGTGATAATACATTCTCTTTAATTCTATAAACAGACATAGTTTCTTGTTCAGTTACAAAGTTCCGCTGTTCAAGTCCTGTAATTGCTGTGTCGAGAATACCGACTAATTTGTCAATTGAAATTTTTTCGTTTACAATAACCTCTGTCATTTTCTTCGCTATCAGAAGCGAATTATAATGATGAGGAATTTAATTTAAATCATATCAAAGACGGAAATACTACATTTAGTAAGGAATTATAAGCCAAATAAAATAAAAACATCTGCCTTGAAGATAAGGATAGTGCTGACAGATCAACTTCCAATTCATTGCGTGCAGCGCGTTAAAGATAAACAAAGTTTAGATAAACAAAGGATATGGCCTTTATCCATTTTTTGCAGCAATTCTACTTTTTGTTTAATGGACTTCTAAATATAGTTCTGCTTTGTAGATCCTTTACATATTAGTAAATATATATCAGAAATTCTATTTGACATAATCGAAAGTTCAAGCTTACTTTTATAAAATTGCTCTAACAGTCTGCCAAAAATAATAAGCCGAATCTAATTCGAAGATTAAGGAACAACACAATCTGCAACATTAAATGAATTAGATAATTTTAGCTTAGCTTATATTGTCTGTTATACATTAAACACGCATTCATAAACGTATTTTGCGCACACTCGTATTCGCAGCAGTAAAGGTCTTACGCGCGTGTGTTAACGCGACGCATGCGCAGAAAGTTTGTAGCTTTGAGGTCCAAATTATGAGTGTCCGAATTAACGACTTTTGACTGTATAATGCTCAGTGTGTGCAGTATCAAACGTTTTTTTAAGTGAAAAACAGATTGCTGTGTATGGAGAGAACTGTTGTTTCTCCCCATGTATGCAGCACTGTGTTTTCGCTTTAAAACACGAGAAAAACACACAAAATCAGGATCATGGACAGCATTTAATTTTGTACGTCAAAACTTCATGCAGCTATTCATGACATATAAGCAAGTTACCATGTTTGATGCCTGGTGTCCCATTAACAGAAAAGTATAGAATTTGTTACAGAAAAGTATAAAATTTACTGTTGTCAATCTTGTCCTTAGTTTGATGCCATTGCTGTGTAATGTTGGTCTGTTTTAACTAATTCTGATCATACTTTTCTGCAATTATTAGTAATATAAGTTTGATCATGCATTGTATCCCAAATTGTCAACTGCTGCCATGTTTGTGTAGATGTAATACAGATGTCTTATTCTTCATTTCTTTTTAGAAGTGAAGATGAATTTTTGCATTCCACGTTGTACTGAGTATAATACTATCTATAGTTAAAGGAATTTTAAAAAAGTTCATGTTTAAAACTACCACATAGTTTCTTCATTTTTATTAGCTTTAGGCAAACGCAAGTATTTTGTTGAATATGTGATGCTACCATCAATTGTAATTCTTTCTCATACTGTCAGATCTGTACTGATGCAAGTGTCATATTTCATATTAGTGGAAATATTTCAGGTTCTTTGCTTCTGTCAGATGTAAATATGTTTAAAATCGGTGCTAAACTAAACTATGATTTATTACGGAGGAACATTCAAGGAATTAATGTTGTAGATCTCGGCATAGATGTTCTCTGTGTCATTTTAAGGAACCGTATTTGTTGAAACCCTTCAAAGAGATCATTGGTCTGACATTCTTGTTAAGCCTTCTCTAGGCTGCTTACCTATATGCAGACTAAACTAGCAGTTCAGTTACTGTTGTGACATACAGTTCAAAACGAAATTAATCTTGAGAAGCAGCTATTTTTCATAATCTTATCTGCCTCTCTGACAGCAATTTTAATGCCTTTATTTTCTGAAGATATGTTTTATATGTATTTCTTCAACAGCCTCCGTAACTAAATAAAAAGTATCTCGTGTATTCTTTATTAGAAATTCAAACAACTGTGAGTATAACTAATTACTCAGTCTCTAAATGGGAAGCATACTTATTGCTTGAAAATTACTTTCTAAATTTGGGATAATCATATAATAGTATTGCAAAATAAATAATATAAAAAACAGTTCCTTGTAAGAGGTTTAGGTGTCTATCAACAGGCACCAGTATTTTTTAAAAGTGACATGGAAATCATTTAATGAGTATATTCATAATTTTAAGATTTTCCTTTAAAATAAAATTTAGTATTTTTTAATAAATTTAGTAAAATTTAGTGTAAAGTAACACTGAATATTTGTGCTTATTTTCCCTTTATGCTATCATCTATCTTACTCACCTTTTTTTTTTATTGGAAATTTTATGTAATTCTTTTTATTCACAGGCTGTGGCATTAGATCCGAATTTTCTTGATGCATATATTAATCTTGGAAATGTGTTAAAAGAAGCCAGAATTTTTGACAGGCAAGTTTTTGTTTCATGTCAAAATGGTTTTATCAAAGTTTTTTTTTAATGGAGATATTGGTGTTTTTTTTTTTAAAAAGTGATATTTTTGTATTTATTTCTCGGTTACAGATTAAGATTTTAAGGAATATTGCGAAGTACTATTTATGCTGAAGTTATTTAATTATTATAAGTCTTTAAAATATTAAAATGTAGTTCAGCGTTCAGTATGATTGTCATCTTTATGTAGTATTTTTGAGCACACATTGTAGTATTTTTGAGTGCACATGCAACGGCAGCTAACCGAAGCACATGCGTGAATCACATACGTGGTGTTTGAGCTCATAGGGATTTACATGGTTTGGATTTTAATCTTATTTTGCTGAGCAGTATCCGTGCCTGCATAAATATTAATGTTGGCCAAATAGGTTTTATTTTTGCCTTCCATACGGGAAAGTGTTTAGTGACTGACTGCCATACGAAAGGGTTCGGGTTCAAATCCTCGAGAAGGCATGGATGTAATTTGTCAGTCTGTTCATTGGAGGCAACGATGTCCCACCTATTTTAGGTGCCTGCATAAAAAATAGACTACCAATTCCAACCTTGGTAGTGGCCAATATGGGGGGGGGATTATTTTTTCTTATAAAGCTTCTTTCATATGAAATGTTTCTCTTTTATTTATGAAATTATCATTTTCATCTTCTGGTATTTCTTCTTGTTCAATAATGAACAGAACAGCTATATGAGCCGTAAGCTATTTAAACGTGCATTTTCTCCTCACAAATTGACTGATTAGTTGCTAGTAGCTTCAACGCCACATCCCAGCTGTTGAGGAATGGTGCAAACAATGGAAGGTGTGGCATCAATGCACAAAAAAATCACAGTTACCCGTCATCAGATTCAAGAAACATAATATTGTTATAAAAAACAATCTTCAGCTCTTCAGTGAAGCTACTCTGATCATTAAACAAGCTTGATATTTAGGAATCATCCTTAATAGCACACCCGCTTGGATGCATCACATTCAGCATGTAAGAAACAAAGCCTTAAAAGTGATGAAATGTTTATATCCGATCATCGGAAAATACCCAAAACTACTTATTTTCCCATGGACAATCAAAATTTTGGACTGTCATGATTTCCAAAATCAAGCAATAACTCTTAGTGTCAGTACTTGGGTGGGTGGCAACCCACGTGACCTCTTCGATTGTGTGCTGTAGTGAACACTGCTGTGTACTCTGCACTATGTATTATATGTACATATATATTACTTTTATTCACCATAGTATTATTCATGTTTATTATTTTGAAGGACTGCCTCATTTTATGCAGCACTTCTCATTCTCTCCACCTTGAGGATGGCTTTGTCATGTGACCCACAGACTTGTGTTTTCATGAGCTGCCTGATTTTCTAATGCATTTCACATGCTATAACGTTGAAAATGCTTACGACTATATCCTGCATCTTATTTCATGACTTATAATTATGTATCACTCATCATTTGTGGTTATTTTGTATATTTCTTACCAATTGGGCATCATCTCATGCACTTATGACAAACTGGTCATACCTTCTTTTACATCTTCAATATTGTCTACCTGGACTTAATTCAGAACCAAACTACTTTAAGCGCCCATAGAGGCAACTACAGCCGACAGCCGGAACACATTATAATAACGATCAGCGGAAGTTGGAGCAAGATCGATGCTGTTATTTTGTTCATTTTGTCACTGAGGATTTTCTAACATGTTGAGAGATAAATACAGAACAAAATTAAAAGTGAATCCTAATTTACAGTTTAAGCTAATTGAAATAAAGCCAGACTTTAAGAAATTGTTCCATCTTAAACAGACCCAAATTTCAAATTAAATTTTCGAATTTAGGTATTATAACTTAAATTTTGATGATTAAAATGAAGACCAATTTTTTTTTAGTCTAACATTTTTATATGTGCATATTTAATACAAATAGCCAGTAGGTAGTGAAAATGGCAAAATATATATTTTTAAAATAATTTCTATTGAGAATTTGAAAAATAATCGTAAAATGTACCGGTACTGAAGTTTAAAAATTTTTGTTTAGATGGTACGCATTAGTCTAAAAGTTGAGAACCACTGGTCTAGAATAATGTTGGCCATGCTGACATTTCTCAGAGAGGATTCTTGTAAAAACAAGGGATAAATTTAGATCTAATATTAGTAATGACACGTCAGGAATACTTTTATTAGCAAAAGCAGGCTTACGTGGCAATTGGCAAGAACAAAACTATGAAGTTTCTTTCTCGGTGAAAGCAAAATCTGCCACTATTTATAGCATTTCCATAAAAACTGATTAATTATTTATTCTCTGAATACCATTAAGGTGCACGTATTGCGCAATAACGTTTGCGATGTTTTGCAGAGATAAGAGAGTTTTACCGTGCTTGCTAAGCAGATTATTTTTCAGTTACATTGGGCTGTTTTTTTATATATGATGCGCATATTGAAATGTCAAAAGCATTATTTAGCTGAAAAATCTAAAGAACGGCTAGAATCTACCCCTTCCTCTTTTACCAATTTACTTTCATTTTTTTTAATGCGAATAATAAAAGTGTTTTGTCTTTACATGTATTTTTGTTATCAGGGCTTGTAGCAGTCCTTACAAGTGCTTATAAGTCCTTATATTTGAAAACAAAATATAAAAGCCCTTATAAGTGCTTACTTTTCTCTAAAGCATTTATTTTTTGTTTTTAGTGCTTATTTTTTGCTTTTAGTTTTTTTTTTTTTTTTTTTTTTTTTTTTTTTTAACGAATTCACATTTTTTCCCCCGTGCCAAAGCCGAAACTAAATAAACTTCTCTTCCTTTTATGGAACGTCTGATGGTAAATCATACTCCCAGAAATAGCTTTTTGCCCCTTTCTCTTCATTAACATAACCATTGGTGCACGCGAGTACAGACAGGTGAACGTCATTCTGTTGGTCAAAGAATTGCGGGAGCAGTAGAAAATTTTCGGTACATTCCATATTCTTTTGCTCCCACCCAATACTACACACGCTTGAATTTCTATCAATATTTTAATAATTTACATTCTCATTCCGTGTGGTCAGTTGATATTCACGTTTATTATGATCGTTATGCTTATATTATATTATGAGCATATGTATGAATATTTATAATAATATATTTACTGTAACTGCTGAAGTATAGATAAACTTCAAAAATGGGTGTGTTTTAGCACAGATTAGTTTTCTAAGGAATAGTATTCAGAATGGCATAAATAAAGTAAAAGTAATCGAATAGTCAATTTTTTTTTTTTTTTTGCCACTGCTTTATACAATATGGAAGTTAGGGGTTCTCCCCTTTCTCCGCAAAATCTCGAATATTGAAACCGTTAACAATTCGCTGCAAAGCAAGCAACGGACTTTTTTTTTGGTCACTTTCCAACCTGGATTGAATAGGATTATGATTCTATTCCGGAAATTTAATGCAATCTGTTCAAAATCAGAATGAAAAACACCCCAGATTGATAAATCTCTTTATTAACCCCTTCGCGCCGGGTAGCGCAAACGCGCGCTTATCGCGGAGGCCGGCAGTGTCTTATGCGAGCGTCTGTTTTTTGCTATTAAGCCTAAATCCATGAAATTTCCGAAGTATCAATGCATTGTTTAATAATGCTCTATAGAGTATTTAAATGGCTTATGCTTTATAGATATTTTTATATATACATTAATTACCTTATTTCTTGTTTAAATGTATATTTTACACATTTTATTTTCATTACTCACCATTTTATGACTTTAAACATTATACATCTGAAAACTAAATATATTACTTAAAATTCTCTTTTCGTATGAAAAATTTGAAAACAGGGATCTACACACAGTCCTATGTTACATTCCTTGCACTCCTAATAAATCATTTGCCGTTTTGGAGGATTTTAAAAAATTTTCTATTGTGGATGACCATGGAGAAGTACTTGCTTTCGATGTACTCGGCATGCAGATATCCGAAATGTCCTCATCATCATTTGATTCGCCAGATTCTTTATGATCAGAATATATCATAGAGTCACTATCACTACTATCAAAACCTGTTTCAGCATCAATATCTGAAATATTTTGCATCATTTCTGCTATTTTGTGCTCTGTTAAACATTTTCGACACTTCGACATTGCAACGATAAAAACAAAAAGAATTCACGTCTAACAAGATCTAATTATTTTCTAAAAACTGAACTGCAAACCGAAATACCCAGCGCTTTAGCGAAAAATAAAACTTCTCTACTTACAATAAACAACTACCACGTGCGAATTTAAAGAGACGTCATAAATCACGCCATTCGGAAACATTTATTTCCCCTTTTGTTTATATAATTAAAAACACGTGTATGTGAGTCATGCTTCTCTCATTTCGAGTAGAAGGTCTAATATACATGTATCTGAAACCATATGGACATACAGTGATCTTGTGGCAGAAATTATAGTTTTTAAAACGTTCCAGGGCACTGGCACAAATACGTGACAGTAGGGGCTGAACAGGAAAATGCTCTGGCACGCCTGCGTGTCGGCTGGGAAGTGAGTGTGTTGTTGCTGGCACGTAGACGTGACATTCGGCGCGAAGGGGTTAATCAATATGAGTATGGGAGGGATGTCGTGGAGCGCGACGTGTCCTGCTCAATGATAAATATGCCACATGGGCACATGCCGGTGAAAACTGGACAAAGCAAAGGGGCATTTTCCTTTATTAAGTTATTTATACTCTGAATACCGGTAGCTGTTGATTCCAATTGTGTAATATCACGTGTGAAAGAATTAAGGCACACGTATCGCAAAAAAACGTTTGCGATATTTCGCAGAGATAAGAGAGTTTTACTGTGCTTGCTTAAGTAGATTATTTTTCAGTTACATTGGGCTGTTTTTTATATGATACACATATCGCAATGTCAAAAGCATTATTTAGCTGAAAAATGTAAAGAACAACTACAATCTACCCTCTTCCTCTTTTAAAAGTTACGCTCGACTATCCGGAATTTTCGGATATT